TTGTATTGTAATTTATTCATTGTACTTTCTTGCATTATTATTATACCTTCATCTTTAGTTAAAGAATCGGGACGATGCCTTTTTTCAGAGGGGGGCAATGCCACGTTTCATTTCACAAGTTTTTGTTATCGTTCCGAAACACCACACGATTCTCGGCGCAAACCGCGCCTGCAGGTTTCGAGAAGGTTCCGGACTGTAGTAGATCATTTCGATAAGATCACGCCCACTGTGCGAACGGTACAGATTGTTCTGGAACCTACGCGACCGCCAGCGATAACGCTAGAACATTCGACGGCAAGGGTATAAATGCCGACGCGCTTCGCCGCTTGTCAGTTGTTGATCGAAGGCCGACGCTGCGTTCGCCGCTATCAGTCCGAGACTGCTATCTGTGCAAGACTGCTGCTGTAATTAGGCTTTCCCTTTACCGGGCACAGGTTCGCCCAAATGAGATAGTAACTCAAATCAATGAAATCTGTCACCACCCCTATAACAAAGCACATGACATAATCTTTCAATGGCTTTCATTGTCTGTCTGGTCACTTAGGAATTGGTGGTAACCACCCCTCCGACAACGCTGCCCGTTATGCCCACGACGGAGCACCCACACTGCTCATGCCCTTGTCAAGGGTTGAGGCCGCAAAACAAATTCGCCACATCGCGGTTATTATCACACTTAAGCATTGGAATTTTCAACCGAACTCTACTCGACACCCACAGAACCTTTCTTCATTACTTCAATTACAGCTGGCATCGAAGACTTCGTGACGGGACGCTACAATGCTGTATCGGTTGTGGGTTGGCGTTGCCTTCACCAAATCATTCAGTTGTTATGGCTGACTCCCCCAACTGTGATAACTACCATTGTGTGGAAAATCTTGACCATATCCTGTGCCAATGGCCAGACTTTGAAGAAAAAGATCACCGGACTCTCCAGTGTGCCTTAAGGAGGCAGGATGATCGACCCTTTACTCTGAAGAAGTTCTTGGGAGCGTGGCCTTCACGTACTTCAGCCCAGAAAGACACACGAGCACTCCTACAATTCTTGAGGGCAACATCACTGTGCGACCGCCTGTGAAACCTGAACTGTGTGTGCCGTGTGTGTGTGTTATGTGCAATGTGTATCTCCTCCTGCTCTTTGTATCCTTTTCTCCCTCATTCCCCTCTCCCCCATGTAGGGTAGCAATCTGAACTTAGTCTAGTCAACTTGCATACCTGTGTGATATTTTCCCTTCTCTCTCTGGTTTAAAAGGGGTTTGAAATACAAGTAAATGTCATATACAGCTTCCTGTGAGGAAAATGACAGAAAGCGCTGATTGCTGTTCAGCAAATGACTCCCTCCACTCGCGCTCTGTCAAGGTTTTTTTGTGTTCCCGATGATGCTCTCAAAACACGCACAAAAATGGTGGAATTTCCTCAGTGCACTCACAAACACCTCTTCGGATTGAATTTTAACAAAGTTTTTTGGAAACCCTTACTGAAAAAAAAGCGCTAGAAATTCCAAGTGTGGCACATATTTAAATTCATTGCCCCACAAAGCCCGGCAGATGAAGTTAAAAGCAATGAAACGTCTGAGTTTTTTTCATCAAAACGGCAAAAGGAGATGAAGAAAACACGTCAAAAGATCTCTAGAATTCAAATACGGAATCATCCAATGAGTTGCAAGCGTTCGACGAAAGACAAGAGCAGAAAAAAAAAAGACTGGCGGCGTTTGATCTGCAAGGAGTTTCGGAGCAACACAACATCGCGTTTTGTCCAGATTCAATGCTCGGAGTCCAAGGACTGGACCTTTTAAGACTGCGTAGAGGCCCACAAAAAGAATTAAGTCTTCATATTTCAATAAAAAAAACTGAAGTAATGAATTTTTTCAGAGTGTCTCATTTCGCACCACGCAGACTCTCGTTTTACTTCGCAGGTTGGGGCAAAATGTGACATCTGAAACCTTTGTTATTTATTTTGAAAATAATATTTTCATCGGGGGGAACAGGCAATATTTATGTAGTACATACCTTGTATCCGAAGCAAGGTTTCTGCATTGATGTTTAATTCTAGTGAGCGAAATAAAAAAGTAAATATTCGCTATTTGAATTTGTGTCGCATTTTACCTTACTCTACCCTCATCACTTTTCCGACGGCACTACTATAATCGACGAGTCGTTTGACGTGGTGCTTTTTTGTACCAACGTTGAAATATATTTTTCTTTTCTCAATATCCAACAAAGCCAGAAAACAACTTGCAGTATATTTCTAGTCTGACACTTGATTTTGCAGGTGCAAGAAACAAACATAAATAAATATAAATATCTGCCTTCATGAATATCTGCCTTCAGAGTGAGCAGATATTTATTGAAAGCTTCATATCAATTAACTGCTATAAAACTATAAATCAATGTATTGTAAATTATTGTTTTTGCACTAGAATATCGAGGGCCTTGAAATCATGCTGTGACACTTGGATGCATTTACAAAACAGTGCTTCATAGGTGGTGTCTGAAAGGGTCAATATAAAATTACAAGAGTGACACCTACTTAATTAACCGAATTGTCACGATTGACTTGAGGCACCGGGTTTCTTCCTACGGTCTTAAAGGGAAGCGTATGATAGTTATGCCGACAACCCTTCGTGGCTGTGGTAACACCTAATACAGTGTTATGTGCGCTTGCTCATTTGGTCCAAACTTGTTATGGAGCAGCTTTCAAGCAGATGCGGTGAAATAATTCAACAAGCAGAAAAAAATGCCTATAGGTTGTGTTCACGTGACGTCAGGTTAGTGGGCGCGGTAGGAAAAACTGCGTCAGCTGTACTGGCGTGGTGACCATTTTGAAGGCCACTATACCGACGGTTCGGATAGGTGCACGCAAGTTACTGCTGGTACGTTGCTCTTGTTTTAATTTTATTCGGCTTTAGAAGGTACGCGATTTACAATTTGTGAAGCTGTTTCAGCAATGGGTGATGCGTGCTCGGCTTGCTTGGTTATGTACGCAAGAAATGGGACGACAGTGCTAAACAGGGATACAGAGACAAATTGGCTCCTGAGACTGACTATCGGGCTCTAACACTTGAGGATCACCAGCTACCATCCATGATCGAGCGTTTTCACCGACAGTTCAAAGCCGCCATTATGTGCCACCCGGACTCAACCTGGCTCGAGGCCACCACAGCTGTCATCACCTTGAAGCTGGCCATCCACGCCACACCAGCAGAGCTCGTCGACCGGGAACCACTGCGTCTGCCAGGTGAATTTCTCGCAGCTCTGCCATCGAGCACTATGACGTCAGACCACGCCGACTTCGTCGCCCAGCTCGGAATCATTATCGCTGCATTACGCCCGCCCCCTGCAGCCTACCATAGCAGGCCTACACCTTTTGTGTTCAAAGAGCCGGCATCGTGCACGCGTGCTTTCCTCCGCGGTGCCATCGTCCGCCGGCCTTTTTAGCCACCTTACAGTGAACCCTAGCCAGTCGCCCATTGCTACGACAACTACTTTACCTTACGCCTCAACGGGAACGATGACCGTGTCTCGATTAACCTTCTCAAGCCCGCATACATCGTAACGAATGAACCGGGCAGCGCCACTCCTTCAACTGGCGCCCTTCCACAGCCACCGACGTCCCAGCCCGCTCCTTTCACGACACGCTTTGGACGTCTGGTACGTCTCCCAGATTTCTACAGACCCTGAGGGTTCTGCACTCGGCGACGAGTGCGGGGGGAAGGTGATGTGGCGACCACTGCGCACAAACTTACGCACCCTCCGTCTACTCACTCATTAGCCCGGTGTGACAAGGCCACTTGCTGCATCACGCTTCCGGTAAAATACAGCACCACACAGTTTCTCTGGAGGCTTACGTCACCACTGCTGGCTATATAAACCCAAGCTACCAAGCTTGGTTTCATGATTGCTTCTCTAACCTTCTCTAACCGCTCGAGAACAGCATCGGCATGCTTGTCCTGCTGTTGCGACCACGTTAATAAGCGATCGTTACGTTTTATGTTGCGATCCGTCCTTTATCGACTCCGCATCCATCAGATCAATCGATTAAAAAGTACGCTGAGCGTAGAATTCTAGAGTAGAGCAATGTTTGAAGCACATGTGCTTTGACGCAAATATACTCAGCAGTGTCGTGAGAAAAACAAAAGCCTGTGCCTTTAATTTAAGCTCGCAATGTACCGTGCATGTATTATTATAGATATTCCAACGTTGAGCACTCCACTGTGTTGGGCTTTTCACATACGTCTCTGCCAGAGTATTAGAATGGACTGCATTTACTGTGTTATTGCGATTTCTTTATTTTTGTGTTTTGCTTGCGCCTGAAGCTACCAGAATCGGAACTTCACTGAGTTTTCATTTGCAGGTCAACCACTCTTAAGCACTCACCACACAGTTTTGTTAAAATAGGCGTGACGAAGACGGCTGAATCATTCCCCACGATACTTTACCGCAACCTCCAGTGTGGGGCAACATTGACCGCGAATAACGTTCGAAAAGGAATAAAATTTATTCGGTGTTGCGTTAGGCACGTCACCCTTCTATTTTGTGTCATGGCTGTGCGCAAATACGGCGCAGTCAAACTAGGTAACGGATGGTGGGCGCAGAAAAAACGGTTCAACTTTAGTGTCTCGCAGAGGCACACGAAGTGTACATAGCCTTATAGTCATGGCCGTCGGAAGCCACACCTTCCTCGTATTAGTCTGAAGCAAACTGCAGGATGCTGAAGCAAACTTGCAGGATTGCTCGGAGTTGACTCAGGTGAATACCACCTATGTGTGTGGCTGTTTTCAGTACCAACGGACGTGAAATGGCACTGAGGGCCGACTCGCTGTGTTGAACACCACTGCTAAAGAACATGACCTGTAAAAAAAGTCATTATGGAGTGTATATAATGGGAAGAAGTGGTCTATATGAATAAGGAGTTATGGGTTGCTTTACCAAGCACGTCATTTTCTATGAACCAATGATGAAAGGTTGACTTGTTCACAGTTCTCTTTAAATTACTGTGTGCAGCTGAAGCCCGCACAAGCGATAAGCATCATCGGCCAGGTCGCGTGCACCTTGGCAGTCGCCGAACGGGAGCTCCAGTTTGAGCACCGGAACCTTCTCGAGGAAAACATCAAGGTGCTGCCCTCTACCTCCAAGAACCACCACTTCCTCATTGACGGCCGCACTTGTTGCGTCAAGGGAGCCGGTATCAAGGTCACCCTTATAGATGACAACTTCAGCCGCCTGACTTACAGTACGTTTCTTACACCTTCAAGCAAAGACCTTCGCACGTCATGGTGCAAAATGCGCAGTAGGTGCACCGCTTTATTTGCTTCAGTGATGGCATAGTGGCAATATTTCCGTCGGCTCAATGTAAGGTCTCTCTGCTTCACCGATTTTAAGATATCACTGTGAAATTTTGTTAAGCGAGAGAGGAATATGGAAGAAGTGCTGTTATTTCCGGCCGAAGGCTCTAAATTTGTAGGGTCGGATTGTACTGCATTACGACTGAATGGAAGGTATCCTAAAGGGGCCACTTACCAGGCCCCATAAGAAATTTTAGTTTGACCGTGGGAGTTGTTTTTTGTGCGATAAGGCCCATTATGCCGCAAATCGTTTTTCAATAGGTTCATTACGAGCTGAAAAAATTGTTTTTCTGAAGCGGCACAAAACGAGGATAGAAGGAGGGGAGCTCGAAAGCCTTTCTGCTCCCCCGCGTAGCCTTCGTAAGCAAAATCACTCCCCAACGCTCTGCGGCATCGGACCAAAACGTCACGTGCACATGACGTGCCCGAACAAGCACAAACACCAAGCCCACGAGCGGCGGTTGTGTTGACCAGTGTTATTTTGTGGTGTACTGCCTGTTTCTGCGGGATGGTCTGGAAACGCTGGCTTAGGCGCGGTTGAATAGATGAGCACAATGAGTGCGCCAACAAGTAAAAGCGTTACTTTCACTTCCACGGCTGTAGTCTGCTCAATGCGCTGACCGCGGGGACACAAACGCTGGCGAAACTCCGGCACTTTAGCCCCGCACGTCGTTTCAATTCACAAAAAAAAAGACGCACACATTTCCTTAATACGTCTCATTGTTTATCTCAAGTTTTGTTAGTCTCTTCAAGCAAAAAAAACTTACACAAAGTACGCTTCTTGTGTTAAATAATTTTTGCCTTGTCACGTGCCACTATTGGCAACGTCAGAGCACGGTCGTCTACGTAGAGGGCCAACGTTACTGCATTGCCATGTACGTAGTAAAATTCATAGGTGCACTTCATGCCCCCATTCTCTGGGCGCGCGCCCGCGAAAGGAAAGGGAGGGGCAGCATCCACCTTGAATTATTTCCCAATTTCGCAGTGCGTAGCATTGCAAATTTTGGCAGACGTGATCGTTAACGTGCCATCTATATACGCATTGCGATTGTCAGCTCAAAATCGTCAAACCTGGTGAGTGGCCCTTTAAAGCCAGCGGTACGTGCCAAATCATCAGTGAGCAGCATAGCTACGTATTTGGTTACGTTTGCTACGGTTGCCGCGGCAGAATAACTGACCGGTGTGTTATATATATGATCCCGACAATTACTCACGCTGACAAGAAGTAAGCCTCTTGTCACTTCGATATATGAGGGCGCACCATCTTGCCGTGTCTGACGCCCCCGTGAGCTAGGATTTCTGATTTGCGAAAATTGTGTTGGAGCAAGGGCGGCTCTCGTTGCATCAAGCTGCTAGTAATCACGCGAATATTGCGATGCGTCAATTAGGCAAAGGCAGTGTCTCGCCACCTTATCATAAGCTCTTGTGAATAGTTGTAACCGTGTTATGAACACTCCTTTAGTAAGGGGATGGTCCTTTGCTCCTGGTGTCTGTATACCTATAACGAGGCCCATTTCTGTCACGGTCGGAAAAAATTATTATATTACTATGCAGACGCCCGTTTCTAGTCATTACAAACGATCTTGTGCTCTGCAGGCTGCCAACACTTAAGGACTTTCAAGGAAGACTTGGGCGATGGGCATTGCGTTTTCAGGAGTAGACGTTCTCCGTAGTGTACAAATCTGACAAGTGGCACTGCGATGTAAACTGTTCATCACGACACCCACTTGATTTGGAAACCGATTATTACATCTTAGACATCAAGGGTTCACTGCATGGGGCGGCGGAGATCGCCAAAATTTTCTTCGTTCAGCGAACTAGGAGCGCAGAGAAAACACAAAGGACGAAGCGAGGAACCACACAACACGAGCGCTCGTGTTGTGTGGTTCCTCGCTTCGTCCTTGGTGTTTTCTCTGCGCTCCTAGTTCGCTGAACGAAGAAAATGAATTACCAACTGGCCCACATTTTGATCCTTTTGCGCCAAAATTTATCAATCCTTTCTATAAGTAACGTTGTGTACAACCGCAACTTACGCAGTGCTGGGGCAGAAGTTATTCTATAGTCGTGCCTCGTCAACTCCTCAAGGACCTCCTAGAAGAACTTCACGAGGCCCCTACTTCTGCACATTTAGGCATCTCCAGAACCTGTCATTGCGTTGCACACAAGCATTCTGGAAGGGCTTCTATCGTTCGATTCGCTACTACCGTGCAGCTTATGACTCGCGCCAGCGCCGAAACAAGACTGCGACTCCCCCTGCCGGTCGCCTTCAAGTTGTGGCCGAGCGGTGTTATGAAGTGGGGTTAGACTTGGCAGGTCTTTTTCCAACTTCGATGTATAGAAATAAACGGATGGCTTTAGCTACGTATTTTGACACTTGGCGTGTAATCGCTCAATCGCTACCGACCAGCTGCGCGACGGACGTTCGATTTCGTTCCCTACGACATGTCTCGTGTTGTGGCCGGCGTATACTTCAATCTTGTGCTTCTGGACGTAACTCTACGAATTATGTCTACACTCATAAGCTCATACGCACGGGCACAGCGAGATATAAAAACCGATTTTCCTCCGGGCTTTCTCGTTCATCTAATGCTCCGGTTGCGTTGTGATCACCTCTGCGAAAAGCTTTCATTGCTGAACGTTGGGCCCTACAAAGCGCCGCGCCGTGTGACACGCCCTTCTATCTACAACAGGCAGTGGTATAGTGCTTTGCCGCCCGAGGTGCCACGGGTGGGGAAAGTGCCCTCAGCGGTGGGCGCAGAATTAACACCAAAAGGTGAAGACGGCGATGTTGCTCTTGTGAGGCTTAGTCTGATCTGCCCTAAAGACCTGCATTCCTGTGCGCTGTGTGTAGTGTCAACCTGACCAGTGCTTACTAAATAATTACTTCTTGTAACAGTATTACATAAATGCAATAACCCTATTACTGAGCACTTGCTAGAATACAGCGCCAAGAAACAGGAAAGAAGGCACCGAGTAGCCGTATTGCATGGGCATATCCTCCAAAGTTACTTTCTAAAGATATGCCTGCCCCTGCCACATTGTCATGATAATACACTTCGTAGTTAGTTGAGGGGTCATATTGAGTGCTTTGGAACTTTTAACGTGTTTCCAGGCTAAGTACTCGGTCGCTGTACTCTCGCACAGAAATGTGGGCGCCTTGCTTGAGAACTTTGTGCATGTATCAGTGCTTAACAATGAAGTTCACACCCTCTAAAACACCATGGTTTCATGCAAGCCATTCGTAAGATTGTTTCTTGCACGCAAACGCAAAGTGCTTGTGCTCTGCGTAGCTTCATTTATGGCCGCGTGTTCTCTGCTACGCAAATATTGTGGGTTAAAGTGTATGTGTTCCCGTAGAGATGAAATACAGTGTGAAAGCGGTGCACTAAAGTTCTGCTGATGTTCGAAAGGAGTTAGTAGTTACAGTACCTGCATTTTGCGTTTATCGTAAAATGCTAGACAATTTCAAGGGAGTATACTGAACGTTCATATCAAATCACAGAAGATGCTTCAGTGAGGATGCTTTCTAGTCGATGAATAGGCAACGGTGACCTCGTCGCGAAAATCTCGGGTAATATATACTGATCATGCTAAGCACGCAAAAAATGTATCTTTTGTTATTGCTGTTGCAGATGTGCCTGACGTACACATGAAACTCCAGTATACTACACTGAAATATTGTTTTGTGCCACAGCATAGCAATAAAGTAGTGGAAGTTCATATAACAAGAATCAAAGCTGCTTCTGCTATAGACAAATGGAAATTACATTTATAGCTCATTAGAAAAATGTTCTTCGAAAATAGTGAACAAAAGTGGCAATGAAAATTGATATTGATGTTTAGACACATTTGGCTAGCGTAAAACAAAACGCATCGTTGTGAGACGAAAAACAAACAAAACCGTGAAGGATACTTCGTCAGGTTTCAAAGCATTTTTGATACTTAAAACACCGGTTGTATAAAGAAACTTTGAATCTTTTTCCATATTTTTTTTAAATCTTTGGATAGAGAACAACCAGAAGAAGTTTAGGTGTAGCGGCTTGTGGCCACCTAAACGGCGACCGCCGCAGGCATTTGTGGGTTGCGCAGGGTCTCTCGTGCACTCAGGCGGATGCAGGTGCAGGCTGACATGAAAATATTCGAAGTTTTTGTAAGCGGGCCATCTCTGGTAGTCACCGTTGAAGCCTGTTCGTATTTAAAAAAGTGTTCATTTATTTATTGGGCTGTGTTACGTGGTCGAGACTGGTCTCTAGTAGTACTATTTTTTAGCGTTTCCATTCACACGAATATACAAAACCTATATTATTCACAGTTCATGATGTGCTCATCGCGACATACCACACTGAAAGTGTCAGAACGTGGCACCGGAAATCGCACCGCTGGAAAGCCTTGTTCGTACGACGCAGCCGTCGTTTTCGGAGGATGATGGCAGTCACGATAACGGCAGCCGTTGTGTTCACCATTTGTGAATAAGCTTGTCATTCGTAGGGCAGTAAATCTAGCTGATTGGTTTTGCACACTGCACACTGTTCGAGCACTAAGCAATACAGTCTAGTTCTTCCACCCTCTCGTCCACGTCTTGCTTGTGTCACTACGCTTAACACGCCGTAAGGCCACTATCTTTGTTTCAAGGTTCAGCGAGTTGACTTGTTCTGGGTTGACACGTGTAGAGGTTGAACCCTCTGCGGCTTTGTGCGATACACCTTATTTATTTCGACTTTACCGTATGCTGCATATTGAAGTAAGTAGAATATACGATGGACTTGAACTGATTAACGGAATTCTTCCTTTCACAGACAACGAAATATTCTTGCGCATGAGGAACTACAATTGCGTCTACAAAGACAAGACTGCGCAATACCTCACCCTGGAACGGATCATCAAGTGAGAAAACGAGCCCAATTTTTGATTTTTTAAAATTTTGGATTTCACAGTATGCCTTCGCTGGAATGGGCGAAATAAAATTATGTATTTTTTGCCAACGTTTATGACGGGCCCTCTACTGATAATTCGTTTCGTTTCACGGAAACTTTGGTGCTTAATCACGTAAAAAATTTGTAAAAATAACTAATAATCAGAACAATTTTATAAGACGAATGCAGGGTCCCTATTGCTTCATATAAACGTCTTCCAACAAACCTTTCAGCGTCTCGATAAATACGTGGGAAGGACTTCTGAAAAAAAAAAAAAAAACGGGCCCTTAGAAACACCCTACTTATCAGTGAATGCCCTCTCCACACTTGTTCATTAAAAAAATTTTCAACACTTGCTAGCTTCCCCACATGCGGCGAAGAGCAATAAACACCTACACTATTCATACTCAAAGCTTCACATACCGCTGCGGTTTTCCTGTGAGAGAAAGTGAGCTTGCGAAAATGATCTGAAAAACCCAACGAGGTTAAACATAAACCAAGTTACTAGAAAATCGAATTGCCAGGGGTCATTTTCAAAAGGAATGCAGTTCTGATGTGTTCTTCCTGAAAACAAATTGGCAGACTCCACGTATAGTGGAAATCGATTATTTGCGAAGCACGAATTAGGAAGGTTGATATATCACATTAAAATCAGCACAACATTACGAGGCGGAGATAACTTATGCCGTACATCACTTTCTTGTCATGATTATCATGTTTGGGCGTGTCATTTATCTTCGCGATCTATTAACGTCACCTAATACCAAATTTGGTATAGTTGAAGCTAGCGAAACAGCCGCAAGCCCGTCATACGCGTGATATGTTGTCATGTCTTTACAAGACAGGCGTGTCGTTATTATCATGTTTTCACCAGTCATATACCTACGTCACCCATTGATGTCCCGTAATACCAAAATTGGTATATGTGAAGCTAGCGAAACGACCGCGAGTGCACTATGATCGTAGCATGTAGTCATGTTTTACATGACACGCATGTCCTGATTATTATGTTTGCACCTTTGTCATCAATTCATGTCTCATAATACCAAATTTGGCTTATGTGAAGCAAGTGAAACAGAAATGAGCGCACCATGAAAGGCCCAATATACTCCGACGTAACTTAGACATGCCCACGCTGGGCGCAGCGACGCTGCGCTAGGGAAACGCGGGCACTCTTCAGTCTCACGCCAGGCGCGACCGGCCTGACCAGCGCCCGTCGGCGCGGCCCGGCGGCAACTGGAGCGCAATGTGACATGGTGCATTTCGCACCGACAGCGTTACCCTGACAGCACCGTGTCTGCCTCTCTTCGTGATGAAGGGACGCCGTATGCGCTCAAATGTGCATGCGAGAATAATGGAGAATATGGCAGGCAGATCGACACCTGGCGTGGCACAGTTGGCAGGACGCGATGAAGTGAACACCGGCGTGCACTTGCGTTAGGTCACGTCGAAGTGTATTCGCGCCTTGAATGTAGTTTGTAGTCATGCTCCTACATGACACGCATGTCATGATTATCAAGTTTGCACCAGTCAGATACCTTCGTCATTGATTCGCGTGACGTAATACCGAATTCGGCATACGTGCAGCTAGCAAAACGGACACGAGCGTATCATGAGTGTGGCAAGTAACCATGTTGTTACATGACACGCGTGTCACAATTACCATGTTCCGATGTGTCATTAACCCATCTCGTCCGTTTGCGTCACGTAATACTGAATTCGGTACATATGAAGCTAGCAAAATGGCCACAAGCATATCATGAGCGTGTCATGTATCATGTTTTTATATTACACGCATGTCACGATTATTATGCTTGCACCAGTCATATACCTTCGTCATTAATTCACGTCCCGTAATACCACATTGTGTATACGTGAAACTAGCGAAATGACCACGAGCGCACCATGAGCGTGGTGTGTAGTCATGGCGTACATGAAAAGCATGTCATGACTGCCGTGTTAGGGTTTGTCATTTCTGTTCGCCTTGCAGTCATTTCATGCCATACCAGGTTTTAAAGACGATAGTCTTTCTTGGGAACATTCGGCGCAAAACTTTTGGTATATCTGTCTGTCTGTACATTTGTCTCTTTGTCTGCCCTTAACGGCGCCCTAAACGGCACCAAAGTGACCAAACGATACTCCAAACGGCCGACCTCATCCGCAACGCCCACCAATAATGCTCAAGATTCAGCGTTCATACTTGTGCGATTGTCAAACAATTATCGCGCATATCTGCGGCACCATAACACGGGAATATTCTGTATGTGTGTCTCTTACTAGGAAATTCATACATAAGTAATTCTAAGGACCATAGCGTTTATCACGTTGCGCTGACCATGCAACGTTTGCACGAAAAGACAAGTGTTTCCAACGCTTTACTAAGGCGACACGGAGGTGGCACTTACTCATCGCCCTGGGTTCTACACCTTATCACCTCCGAGACGGGCGCGCAGGGTGTGCGCGCTTCGTTTTTCAAGATAACTGCCAGATAGCGCTCATGTCTCACGTGTGACATGACTTGAAGCGCTCGTTTGCCTCTGATGCACGCACGAAGCACTCTAACGGAGTGCCTTCATAATACCATTCCCGGCGGCAACCGACGGCAAGCGGCGCGAATTGTGGCATGCTGCATTTCGCGCTGATGCGTTACCCAGACAACAAACACTGCGTCTCCCTGCTTTCGTGACGTAGGGACGCTGGACGCGCTGAAACGCGCATGCGTCAAAGCAACGCAGCGCGGCGCGTGCCTACGTTGCTTTGCGAGTATATGTCAGGACCGGCGCCTGGCGTGGCAACGCTAGCGTGACGTGGCGAAATGAACGCCGGCGAGCACGCGCACCGCGTGACGTCGAAATGTATTGGCGCCTTGACTGTGGCATATAGTCATGTTCTCACATGACACGCATCTGATGATTATCATGTTTGCACCCGTCATGTGCACATACCTTCATCGTCCATCGGCGTCACGTAATGCCAAATTTGGCATATGTGAAGCTAACCAAATGGCCATGAGCGCATAATCAGCGTGGCATGTAGTCATGTTGTTACATGACACGCATGTCGTGATTAATTATGTTTGCACCAGTATCATACCTTCGGCATTCATTCACGTACTGTAATACCAAATTTGGTATACTTGACACTAGCAAAACGGCCGCCAGCGCATCATGGGCGTGGCATGTAGCGATGTGTTCACATGACACGCATGTCAGGATTTTCATGTTAGGGTCTGTCGCTTGTGATTGCCAGGCAATCATGCCATGCCTTACCAGTTTTTCAACGTGCCATGTGAGCGAAACCACCGCAAGAGCCGCAAGACCATGAAATGTAAATTGTGACATTCATGACCCACAGCTAGTAATTTTTATGTTTTGACTACTCGCTTAGTCTCGTCATACAGTCAAGTTATGCCATACTAATTTTGGTATCAATACCATTAGCGAAATCGCCAGGGGAGCTAAGAGTCGTAGGCGGCTAGATAGATACATACGCTCAAAGTCACCGAAGTTCGCTGAGAAATTTAAAAAAAAAAAACCTACAGTGAGCGATTTAGCATTTTTCCCGCTGGGAAGTTATACTCCCGAGGTTGTCGTAACAAAGATCGGCCACACGTTGCAATAATACCGATAGCTGAAGTGCAGTCGGGTCAGTGGCGTATTAATGAGACTTCAAAATTCCGACTTAGCAGAATGAATTTCTACAAAAAGTATGTATCTGTTGGCGACTCTAGTTTTTAGTCGACTCACCTTTACTGATGATGTACAATACGGAGTAAGTATTGGGATATCTTCTCACTCTGGCCATTTCGATTGTGCATAGGACAGGTTTTCTACTGCAGGGTTTCTAGAACACACCTGCTTCGGGGAATAAAATTTCTGAGGTCACCCGTATAGGCCATTTATATAGAAGGGAAGCTTTCTTCAATATTTACTGAATTGTGGTCAATTTTCTTAGTGGCCAGCGTTCCTCTCTCAAAGCATGCGCAGGTGAATCCATTTATCGGTACACAGAGAAAAATATATACCTACATGGCAGCTTTCTGTGGTTGTTTAATCGCCCAAATCCATATTGAGGTGTCCTTTAACGAACACAAGGTTAAAGTGTACTTTCCAGTTATACTTTGTTTGATCGTACATAATGGCTGAGCGTGGGGTGAACGAGCAGGAACCGCTGGGACTTGTTTCACCCGGAGACGAATGCTCTGTGGCTGGCCTACCTGTGCGGCCACCTGAGCGACTACCTGACCGTGCCCAACCCTACCGGCGAGTGGCAGCGCAGGCTGGAGCTGCTCGCATTCATGCAGCGTGACCTGCATCGGGTTCACTCAGCCGACGAGTTCGTGTGGCTGTACATCAACAAGATCGGCCATGGTGAGATCTTTCTTCGCAATCCAAGAATATTGTTAGAGCAGAATGTGGCGGATCTGTAATCCTTCTTTCCCCCATAAAAAATACAGAAGGAGACTACGCTCGCCATTCGTCATTGCCGCTAAATTTGACGCCGCGCGTCATTGTTTTATGAACCTGAGAGAGAATAGATAAAAATTACTCACTGATGCCTGACCTTCTTTTTTTCTGCAGGTGCACATCTCTTGTATTAAGGGGTTAGTTTGACTTTGAAATGGATCCAGCAAAATGAATGAATTCAGAAAAAACACGCGTAATTTTTGAAACTCTACAGCTATTGCCACACTATAGGGTTGCATACAACGCGCCGTTTATGTTGGTGTGCTTTTCAAGTTATTTATACGGTCGTTTCTTAGAACAACTTCGATTGCATGGTAAACTGCATCACCACGATCACAAGTAGAGAAATTTAAGCTTGTTGAAGGTAGCTTATTTCAGAATAACGAGTTCAACATGGGATGAGGAATTCTTGAACAATAGATGTCGAGGAGCCAATGTTTCGAGAAGTACACTTCATTTCATTTCATTTATTTATACTGTTAGCCCAGAAGTGGGCCGTTACAGGGTGGAAGTACAAACAATTATTCGCGAAAAAGAAGTACCGTACAGGTCTCGAGATAAATTCTCGGTATTATTGTGAGCAGCAACTCGAAGTTATACATAACAAAAAATGGAACACACATGCAATGCAATACATACGCGCAGAACAGCACATGACGCATTAGAGGCGGCACTTTTGCACCGCGCTAAAGATTTGAAAGACAACTACTGCAGTCTCATGCAACCAACAAAAAGTACAGACGCACATCACTGTTATTCAGGAAATAAACGTTTGAGATTCTGTTCAAATGATGTAAGCGAGGAACAACCAATTATAGACTCTGGCAGCATATTCCAATCTTCAATAGCACGTGGAAAGTAACTAAACTTAAAGCAATCGTTGCGTGGGACTAGGGGTGGTATGTACATACTATGGCGATGTCTGGAGTGTTCTTGTGTGTTGACCTGGAAGTAATCTGAATAGTTTAGTTTAAAATGATTATGAATTAACTGGTAGAGGAATTTCAGACGCTCAATCCTCGTCCTGAGTTCAGGACTATCCAGTCCAGCTTTTTTACAAAGTTCAGTAGGTGAATGATGTCGGCGATATTTATTAAAAATAAATCTCGCGCCAAGTCGCTGTATTTTTGCTATTTTATTGCAGTTTGTGTTTGTGTAAGGGTCCCAGACAATTTTAGAATATTCGATAATAGGTCTGACAAGGGTTTTATAAGCAAGACACTTTATATCAGATGGGGCGGTATAAAGGTTACGTCTAAGGCTATACAGTGCCTTGGTAGCCCTGGAGCATACATTATCAATATGAGTGTTCCACCGGAGGTCGGGCGTGAACCATAACCCAAGATATTTATAGTTTTGTACACGCTTAAGGAAAGCATTGCCAATCTGGTAGTTGTAATCTAGAGGTGCTTTCTTTCTAGTTATAGTCATAAAGACTGTTTTTTCTGTGTTCAAACTCATTTGCCATTCTTCGCACCAATCCTTTATTCTTTGAAGATTGTTGTTTAGATTAACTTGGTCATGTTCAGTCTCGATTCTGCTATAAACAACACAGTCATCGGCAAACAACCTTATCGGAACCGTAACCCGCTTTGGTAGGTCATTTATATATAACAAAAATAAAAGGGGACCCAGCACGCTTCCCTGGGGAACTCCGGAATTAACTGCAACTGCTCTAGACTGTTTATTTTTTATTTGAACAAACTGCTGACGGCAGCTGAGATAGGATGAAAACCATTTTGTCAAGTGATTATTTTGAAACGTTTTGTCAATTTTAAACAGGAGCTTTGAGTGCGACACTTTATCAAATGCCTTTGCGAAATCCAAATATACCACATCAGTTTGACCACGCAAATTGATTGTTTTTGAAAGATCATGAACAAATTCGATTAACTGTGTAGTTGTAGATAAGCCTCGGCGGAAGCCATGCTGCTTAGAAAATAATAGATTGTGCGTATCAAGATAGGACATCAGGTGTTTGTTAACAATGTGCTCGAGTATCTTTGAACATGTACTGATAAGCGAAATAGGACGGTAGTTGCGCTCGTCCCGTGAGGAGCCACTTTTGTGAACAGGGGTAATTTTAGCCCGCTTCCACGCTAGTGGGAAAGAGCCACTGCGCAGGGACGACTGAAATATTTTTGTAAGGAAGCGAGCCGCCCATTCAGCGTATCTGTACAGAAATTCGTTTGGTATACCATCAGGGCCGGGGGTTTTTCTTGTATTTATATTAAGTAAAAGATTTAGGACACCCTCTTCGCTAATTACCACATCATCGATCGGCCGCTGCAATGATGACGTAGAAAACTCGGGCAAAATGCCATTATCATGAGTAAACACAGAAGCGAAAAAAGAATTGAAATCATCAACACGTTGTTGAGTAATTTCAGGTGGCCTTGGGGAGCTTGCTGGGGGAGATATAAAGCGCCAAAACCTTGAGGGGGCTTCCTTCAAGTATTTCGTCAATGTCACATTGAAAAACCGATCCCTGGATTGCTTGATCAGACGTTTCAGTTCTTGTCTCATTGAAGAAATGCAAGCTGTTGCTTCAGGGGTACAATTTTTTGCACAAGATTTTTGTTTCCGTTTTAGTTTTCTTTTTGTGTGAATGATTTCTCTGGTAATCCAGGGATTGGTTTTACAAATGCGTTTTCTAATCCTGGGTACATAGCTGTCTATGCACTTCCCTACAACAATTGAAAAGAAATGCCATAGCCTATCAGTGCTGCAGTCAGTGTTGTAAAGGACCTGAAATTCATCAAAGGACCTTTCAAGATAGTCCAAAATAGACACATCATCAGCCGCCATAAAATTCAATACAGTGCTAAATGTGGGTTTACCCAAGGTGTCTGGGGACAATGCTAGGTGCGTTACTACCATTCTGTGGTCGGACAGGCCTTCTACAACTTCACAACGGCTGAGTAACGGCAACAGCTTTGGGGACACAAAAACCAAATCAAGGATAGATGACCTTGTAGTCCCTATCCGAGTAAATTCAGTGACACTTTGCGTTAGCCCGTAGCAGAATGCCAACTCCAGTAGTTGCTCAGCACTTGCAACCTGTTCCGATCCAGGAGACTGGGATAGCCAATTAATATCCGGAAGATTGAAGTCCCCTAATAATAATACGTTATCTTGGAGGCTAAAATTAGAATCCATAAAATTTCTTAGCTTTGGGATTATATCCAGAGAGGAATTCGGCGCTCTATAAATACCTCCAATATAAACAGTTCGCTCGCTGAACCCACACCTAATCCACAACATTTCTATGTCACAATTATCATCCAACACTGAAAACGTAATGTTGTCTTTAATAAGAAACGCAACACCACCACCTCTTCCTTGCCGGTCTTTTCTAACAATTATGTAACCTGTGGGTGTTACTTCGAAATCTGCTACATCCGTATGTAACCAAGTCTCTGTTACGACCATTATATCCGGTTCATGCTCCAGGATTGCGGCTTCAACTGCATCAGCTTTATTCAGCAAACTTCTGGCGTTTACATTAATAACCTTAGCAGATGCTGTTTGTCTCGATTTGCGTCAGTCAGAGCTGGTGAGACCTGGGCTAGCATACCTGAATCGCTCGTTGGTAGCCTCGTTCCAGCCATAGAGAACGTTGTTTACTTTCAGTTTATCGATGATTAGTTTAACCTTTGCTCCCTTTGCTCTTTCATCCGTTGATGAAATCCATAGTTGTTTTCTGATTTCAACTACTCGTTTAGAGTAATCTTCGCTGACACTGAATTGTGTCCCCTTGAGCTTGCGGCAGTTTTTCAGTATTTTGGTTTTGTCCCTGAAGTCTCCTACTTTCAAGATGACCGGACGGCTTCTTTCAGGTATTTTCTTTCCTAGACGGTGAATTCTCTCAATGGATCTACACTTTGAGCCAAGTAACTTGTCAAAGATATCGTCATTCACCTTACTTAGGAGTACTGCCTCATCCTCAGATTCTTCTTCTTCCACTCCGTGTACAATAAGGTTGTTGCGTCTAGAACGATTATCTAAGTCATCGATCTGCCTGGCAAGAGCCGTCAATGCACTGTCATGGCGACCAACACTTGATTCTATCATAGTAAGCCGGTTCTGTGTTTCACCCAACCCTTCAAGTTGTTTTTCAATAGTCTGGAGCCTAACATGCATGTCGGAAATGCTGGCATCCGTAGATGTCTGCTTGGCCTGAATTTCATTAACTTTTGCTAGTAGTTTACTCTGGTTACTTAATATTTCCTCCAGCATTTTTTCAACCTTGGGCCCAGGATTTTCCTCTACGTCACCGGACAACTTCAGTAACAGGCTTACAACTGAAACACAGTCATTTAAGCAACCAAGTACAGTGTGTGGACTCGGCAGCACAATCAGGCAGGTACAGTTACTACGAAAACCATACTTTCGATCACCAACCTGCACAAGTAGAGGCACGTAAGGCGACATCGTCACGGCGGTGCTGCCGTGTCCACTGAAGGTCGAGACCATGGCCCTTGCTTTTATATGCTCCGGGCAGCTTGCTATCAGGGAGGCGGAGGACGTCATCGTGCTCCACGGGGGTGCGCAGTCGACGAAGTCCACGTGGCACAGCATCGTTGACACCACTGGCGATGATCTAGTTGCGCAGTAGTTGAGTTCCTTCGAGGGCTGGTGCGCATTCTTTATCGGGGTCCATTGGTAGTGTTGTCCAGCGATAACATGGGCCGCTGCTGCGTCCGCGAAGAACCACGCCAAAACCTGCACAAGTAGAGGCACGTAAGGCGACATCGTCACGGCGGTGCTGCCGTGTCCACTTTTCACAGTTTCTGAAAAGAGTTACTGACTTGGAAAGCACAAAAAATTTCTTGATGATGTGTCAGCTCCAGCGACATACACGGCTCACACATTTTCGATATCTTCAGTCGTCTCCTGGACATTAGCCGTATTTGAATACCCTATTGAAATCCGCCTTTATCACGAGGAATTTCAGGCCCTTTTACACTCGGTTGCCATACCCATTGACTACGTCATTTGTCTCACGAACGGGTGCTCTTTGGCCTTACACCAATAAACACTGCATATCACATTCAGTAACATCATGAATATCCTACTCAAGGGTCAGATATGAAAGAGCACATAGTGTGCAGTATGGGGATGGGGAAGGGTGTTCAGTTTTGAAAAGTGTGAAAAAAATGCCGCCTGCATGTTCCCAAGGAGGGAACTCGACTAAATGTATCGCAGAGTAGTGGGGGTATCACGTGAATATGAGTCAGTGAGAACAAATTTGTTATGGTCCAGTGTAGACACTGAAGTTGCCACGCGTCACCCGGCTACTCCCACGTGGGGACCGGCAGGTCTAGCCTGATGGCCCTGTCGCGGGCACACCGGACGGCCAGGATTTGGTGCTGAAGGTCTGGGCTGTGCAGAAGCGCATCCCACTCGGGTTTGCTATAAGTCGGTCCAAGCGACCCGCACTCCCAGAGCATGTGTGCTAGTGTAGCGGTCTGGCCGCAAGCGGCACAGGCGGCATCGGGGAATTTGTGTGAATAAATTGCATTTAGGTATGCTAACGACGGGTACGAATGGGTTTGAAGTAAGCGCGACGAGACGGCCTGTGCTCTATTGAGTTTTGAATGTGGCATTGGGAATGCCTGCCTCGCCATGTACTAATACTTGATAATCTCGTTGTGTGTAGTAGGTGTGTCTTTATGTCCCACGTCGTCGGCACTGGAGCCGTCGCCCAGGCCGAGAGCAGCGCGGCCAGTGAGTGCGCGCGCTGCTGTGTGGGCCGACTCGTTCGGGTTCAGTGCAACGCCGTTTACGGAGCCGACATGCGCGGGGAACCAATGTATGGTGTGAGGGACAATCGTATCGCTGGTGGAGCTGTATGGTATGGTTTGGGAATGCTTAATTGTTATTTTTTGTTATTCTCATCTATTGAATGAAAGAGAAGCGTTGACTTCAACGTCAAGTGAAAGCCAGGTAAAGACGCCCTTGACTGAATTCCTAACTAGAAATTCATTGCCTACATATACGGGGTGGCTACTGAACGGTTCTGCAGCGCGAGCAGTCGTTTTTTTTTCTTTTTTTCTTCACACGCTACCTGCCATCGACCTTGCAAAGCGAGAAAGGGGAAGGTGGGCGACTAGGAGCGAGAGTTTTGGGGGTGTCTTCTTGGGCTGGCACGAGACGCGAGCATGCGGCACGAGTCGCGGTCGTGCACAATAGTGAGGGTGTGGACGGCGCCACCGCGGACGCCGAAGCGCGACATCATGCGACTAAGAAGTGCTCTGCATTAAAAAACAACAGAGACGTTCGCACAGGCCAGAAACGGGTCGCACAATCTAAACGTTGCTGAACGACATACAGGGAATGGTGCCCATGAGTACGACGCGACAGCAGTTAATACCGAGCAGTTTCCCAAATATGTGATAAGCACCAACATATGTGTCCATGATCCTCCCTTCTTGTCTCAGAAGCATGACTTACTAACTTTATTAGGCGCTGCCACATACAGAGTATTGCCTAATAGCACATACATAATCTGCCCATATCTTGATAACAGCGATATCATAACTGTTATTAACCAAAAAGTGGCTTTTAGAAATCGCGAGATCCTGCCAGAGTACGACGAACTTTAAATCTTAAGGTAAGACAGGCGATCGGTGAGGAGGGGTATTCCTATTCCTGTAAGGAAAGGCATATTCATTATCCCAGGTGTCAGCCTATCACGATGGAATTCTATAAACGTGTATTCGGTATGATGCTTCAGAGATGCCGCTGTTAGTAAGATCACGTGCTACATGACGCTAACAGGCAGAAATTGTGGTTAACGCTCGCTGTAAAGGCAACTGGTGGCGCTGACTAACACTGGCAGGTTAAATTGCATTTGTGTACCCTATAAAGTGTAACAGGGTATGACCGCCCTTACGCTCAGTTGGTAGAGCATCGAATGCGTTATTACAAGGTTGTAGGTTTGGTCCCTGATAACGTCAAGATATATTCTGGTCTACTTTTTCTTTCTTAACGCTTACGCTAGAATCGCTACTAATTATATCGCCAATACTTTTTGGCATCATTGTCTATTCTCATTATTATTCTGTCCGACAACGTAAATTGAGCCTTTATATTTCCGCTTGTTTCCTTTGTTAACCTTTTATTGCATTTTTGATGAGGCCCTTCATTTCGCCTGTTTAAATGATCACAAATTCGGCTTCTTAGTTAAACAACTTTCGGAAAGATAGTCGTGAACGTACTTGTTGTATTTAGTTTCGAGCAATCACTACCAGTCTTCAGGAGAAAGCTGACACCACAAAGACAAAGTAACGGTAACTGTCACACAATTAGTGCTAAAAAAAGAAATAGCTACCAATCGGTATATCACGATATACTAAAGTAACCCGTGGTGTAACGCATTAACTTTGTGTACCAAATTCGCACGTCATTTTTGTGCACTGCTTTCTGTGACAGTTCACGCAGATCACGGTTACCAGCCCCACAGTTGGGGCGGCCACCACCCGTCCGGTCCGCCAATTTACACGGGCCTTCTCAGCCTGCTGCGCTGGAGAGACAAGAAGAAGAATGAGGACGACAACCCACCGGGACATTCGGCGAGTCCGCACGCTCATCGTAGCGGAGCTTCCAGCGCTCCACCAGAACTCGATAAGGAGCAGAATAAATAGTTACGCGTTCGCCGAGTGCTCGCCGCTGCTTCAGGCCAGGTGATCTTGTGGCGTATTCAAAGCGCACTATATGATAAATAGGCTCGAAACTTGAAGCACACCTTTCTTCTTTTTCTCTTGCAGGAGGAACAGTGTTTGTTTTCTATAGTCATAACTGAATGCCTGCGGTTTTCAGGGGAACATCTTCCCACAATTCCCAAGTCCTATTGGGCATCAAGGCAAAACCCTTGTTCATTTTTATGTGCAACTGTATTGTACTTTCGTGCACAAATAAAGAAAATGCGATCATTAAAAAATAGCGTATATATGTGTGATTGCAAGCTGTAATAGGCACATCGCTAAAGTGATACTCTAAGAATATTGATGTTGATTGATTGATTTGTGTGGTTTAACGTCCCAAAACCACCATATGATTATGAGAGACGCCGTAGTGGAGGGCTCCGAAAATTTTGACCACCTGGGGTTCTTTAACGTGCACCCAAATCTGAGCACACGGGCCTCAACATTTCCGCCTCCATAAGAATATTGATGTTGACTTCGAATGAAGATTCCCGCGTCTTTGTTGCTGTACTGAGCGCTCAGCCTATGAAAAAGAGCACATACGCACCACGCGTAGGCCTTACATTGCCGCTTCACAATCCTCCGCAAATACTATAGAAATGATTCTGTATCTCACCACTAAAGGTCCTCCATAGCCCGAAAACTTGGAAGGTGAAACTTCAAAATAAAAATGAATGAACGAACGTTGTTTAGCTTCACTATGCCACTCTTCGTGCGCTTGTGATTTCCATTGTCGCGAAAAAAGTATTTTGTTGCTTTCTCTTGTTGCAACTTGTTTTTACAAATGTCATCAATGGCCCGCACAGAAACCACGTTTGCGCTACACCATGAGCACAACATCAGTACTCAGTCGAGACAGTGCTTTGCGTTGGGTTGATGAAAAAAGGGTGACAGAACTGTTTCCGCCGACGAAACACAGCCTAAACACTCCTGCAGTGCGCATGCTTCACAGAAAGTCAGCTAGCATTCCTTCAAGGTACTGATTCCAGGGCACAGGTAAACCTGTTTATTGTAATACTAAGTCATGTTATTGAATGAAAATGACGTTCACATTTTGTTGAATGCAGTCCCTACTATGTCAGTGGTACAAGCGTCTGCGAAAAATGAATGGTTACTTTTAAGATCCCATTCAATCATAGATGAGTGCAGTTTAAGTCAGCGTCCTTTTGAACCACTTCTAAAATTTCTGGTGGGTAAAATACTGGTAAATAACGCCGCAGTCACTTTATCGTACGTACGAGAAGCTGACGAGTTGGAAATATACATGTGACCACGCGACCACGCCCAGTCCGATTAGACAAAGGGGCAGATGGTGAGCGTCTCTAACTGAAGTTGATTGCTCGTGCGTGATCTAGTGAGAGTCATGGATTTTATCTCACAGAAGTGCCGTGACCACGTCAAGTTCATACCTGCAAACATTTTACAACATAACGCGAGAAGTCTCAAAAGCAACATAATCAGTGGTTCTCCGACCCACCGCCTGTATATCTTATGTCGCTTCTTTCATAATATTTCCAAATATTCTTTAGGATTCTGTTGTGCCGTTTTCATAAGAAGCGTATTGGTGCAAGTGTGTCAAGCGGTAGTCAAGCAGACAGAATTGACAAAACAGTTATAGGAACAACAGGAAGAATGACATTGTTCATTGGAAGTTACCTCAGGTGTGAGGGGGGGGGGGGTAGAGATGGGTGTTTGTGATGTTTGATTTACGGAGTGAACCCTTTTGGAACAAGCAGACAGTGCACCGATGAAACAGAGACTTTGATGTCTATAATTCAAATGATACATATGTGGAAAAACTACCATCTCCTACTGTTCTACCAGGCAAGTAGAACTATCTCAAACAATGTTTCAACTGTTTAGAGGGTCCCGCAACACCTTTTGAGCATGATCAGACAACGCTGCCAATTGGTAATAAATGCTCCCGAGAATATGCGAGTCAAATAATATAGCCCAGCACGTGGCTTGTAATTCACAATGATCAAAGTCATCTAAAAATTGCTTTCTCTACTCTCGACAAATGACGCAAGACGCTCAAGAATCACTCGAAGAAAGCCCCTCTATCAGCCATTGGCTGATTTGAACGCCGCGAGATCACCGCGAAAGGCCGCGGCTTGTACACGCGTGCGCGCGTGATTGCACCGGGAAAGCCGCGCATTCAAAGAAAAAAGTGGTCAAGGTTACGAGGGGCGCATCACGTATTTCCTTTGCACCAATATACCTCCCTGCTCAGCTTCTAACGCTTTCATCGAAACGAGACAAGAGAGAATGCAATTGCAGCATCCAGCAAATCTTTGTTACTCCACTCGGACTGGACGGATTCTTAAAACTTTCGTGGCATTGAATTCGTGAGACAATAAACTTTTCCAGTGAATTCACTTCAAGGTTACTTGAAGCACTCTTTCAGGGCCTATTTAACAATCTATTAACTGTGCTCGTCAAAAAGAGAATGTTGCAACAGATTTTTTTTTTTGCTACGTAGAGTTGCATTTGTGGGAATTCATGAAGAAAAACCGCTTGAAAAACACAATGTGCGAGTCTGTTTAATGCACTCTTTAGAAGCTCTTTCCACGACCTAAGGCAGGAATAATAGTAAACAACCATCTTAACATCACCTTCAATGTTTTATGTGGCATACTATTATATTCTGTTCCCAGTCACATTCTTTTTCCATAACATATAAACAATTGACCAGGCGTAGTTTAGTTCACTTTTAATGAATGCGAATGACAAAGTTTATTGAATGCGAATGACGAAGACGCGGATGCCGCAACAAATGAGCGTTTTACCACTAATATACATATAGAATTCACGCCGTCACCTCACTTTTATTGTGATAAAAAGGCGGCTGTTCATTATCAATATGCACGTAGAACTCGCTCAAAGACATCTTGCTTGATTTTCTTGGTCCCGCGAAAGTTGTCAATGAATCACTCGTGGTTCTGATGATTGGTTATGCGGGGTTTAACGTCCCAAAACCACCATATGATTATGAGAGACGCTGTAGTGGTGGGCTCCGGAAATTTCAACCCCCTGGGGTTCTTTAACGTGCGCCCAAATCTGAGCACATGGGACTACATCATTTCTGCCTCCATCGAAAATGCAGCCGCCGAAGCCGGGATTTGATCCCGCGACTTGCGGCTCAGCAGCCGAGTACCTTAGCCACAAAAAACGCGGCGGGGCTCTCGGTTCTGATAAGATTCATACCATTAAATCTTTTTTTCGCAATCTTTTTGAACCTTCGTAACAAGTAACATGTGACGCTGGAGGTGCAGGGCAACCATCCAACACTCTAAATGGGGAGACCTCCAGATGGGAGTTTTTGGCTTGTCCTCTAGATCACTCCCATTTGTACATGTTTTTACGCTCTCGAACTGGGAGTAACGAAAAACGCCCAAGTTGTAGGGCATACAAAGAGCGTAGATTGGGCAAAAACTTTACTCCCTTTGTGACTCGGTGAAAAAGAACCCGGAGTGTTATGGTTCTTATTTGGGAGTACTTTCGGTGTAGTTAGGGCATTATTTTACCCCCTTCAAGGCATTTTCAAGAGACAGAGCGGGAGTATTTTAGCCGCGTGACTCTGCTGTTTTCCCCTTTTTAATATTGTATATTGGAGTAAATAATAGTAAATCTAGGGCGTTTTAGCTCGCCTCGTTCGGGAGTACTTTTGGTATTGAATGGGAGTAACCCATTCACCAAAGTAACACAGAGTTTCTGTCTATGCACTACGAGAGGACACAGACTGAGGAGTTTCAGAATATTTATTATAGAATTTAAATTGCGCTCAAAGTACAACTCTTATGTTCGTTTTTCAGGACTGAGCATAATTATTTACCACAGAATTTGTACAACACGAGCACAACAATTACCATCACATAAAGCACGTAAAGTACAAACACGAATTTTTCATATATTTGTACTATACAGTTGAAAAGTTAAAATCAAATAAAATACATACATTGAAACAAAATTCACCAACCACAATATAGTATCTGACTAAAGAAATTTTTAAAACCTTTATGGGAAGACCACATAAATCAGTAAAAAGTGTTTTTCTGTGGCTAAGGTGCTGTAGATGACCCTACCCAATAACATATATGTAGAACTTATGTGGCAGATGAACTTATGGCACTTGTTTTGAATGAAATGCAATGCCAGTGACTACATTTCCATTATGGATTTCTGGACATTTTTTTTCCGTAGAACACATGCAACATTTAGAATAAACGGGCAATCCTCAAATGTGTAAATGAATGCACAAATATTCCTACCTAGGAAAAAAAACATAAAGGCACTATTGGATCAGCTTTCAAGTTTAAGCAAAGCCATTTTCACCGGACTATTCAAAATCAGCTTCAAAGCACAACAGTACAAGAGCGGTTGAATAGTATACTACAATAAGTTTGTTGCTTCAGTACTATTGGCGACCATATCGATCAAGCGTAAAGAAGGCATTCATGAACTAATGAAGAAACGCACATTTCACAGAACTAGGTAATGCATTAAAAGTACTAACAGAACATACAACATTAGAAAACTGGATAGAACAAGCAGACGCAAAGTACACTGCTTTTTCTGTCTGATTTCTTAATGTATGATTTGCTAATGCTTTCTAATTCTTAAATTCAAAATTGTCTAAGCTTCAACTTTTTTAGCATATTGTATTTAATATGACAATGGGGCAAACCAGCACACGCACACAACAAAATAAAAAATGCAGCATTACAACACCAGAACTTACAATATACAACAGTTAATAGTCGCTGACATCAGCTAGCATACTTGCGTGCAGTTGGGTCATGTCATTTCATAGCGTCCAGCGCTTGCCTGACCACAACGAATATAGCTGAAATAATTTCCACGTGTTTCTCCAAGTTCAAAACTTGTCCTGCTCGTTCATTTAAGGGTCCGAGAACACTCCTGCATATTTATAAGAGTCTGTAGCTTTTCGAGACTGGGCTTGAGGGAATAAAAAAACTTTTTCAAAAGATGTTTTTGAAATGCACTGAATAAAATTGTATTTACGGCAAGAAAATGAATCGATGTAACCACAAAAGTAAAGAATTATTTATGTATATCAATTCTTTGAGGGCTTTCCACACGAACAAAATGAATGGATTTGTTGAAGCATATCTTCTCGAGAATCCTGGCGAGCTCAAAAGACAGAAATAAAATATGTGCAATCAACCTGTTTGACATGCTACAAACTAAAAGTAATTTAGGTGCTGGAGGTGTA